TCTGGGACAGTTTCACAGTGCTGCACTTTAACCCGCTGCGCCACCAGGAAGGGCCCCTCCTCCTATCCTAACTGGGTGCTTAGGTGAGTCACTCTGCCCAGTAGCCAATCACACCGTCCATATCTGTGTCCGTCAGAACCCCCTGGCTACTGGGAACACTGGGTTTGGTGTATTTCCTCCCCCTCCCCATACCTCCCAGACACAGCTGGTCTCCCTAAGGCCTCCCACAGGGAAGCCGACCCCTGGCAACACCCAATGGGCACACATGCCAGTTTCCGGGTTCCGGTCCCACCGGCATTCCACACCTTTCTGAGGCCTCTCCAGGCCCGAGGCATGGTACCTGCTAACTACCCAGTGCAAGAGCCAGCACAGGCTTTTTCTGATGGGACCTGCCCTCAGAACTGTGAACGAAGAGGGCAATGTATACTCTGTGTAAACAACAGGAGGGGCACCCTGTCTGGGGGTGGGGCCTGCGTGCTCCCAGGCCTGTGACACACCTCAGGCTCGCTGAGTTGTTTGATAAGTAACTACTTTACCACCGGAGCATAAGAATGAGCCCCCGAAAGGGCGGAGCTGTGCCTGGCCCTGCTCCCTGGCCAGGTGAGCACTGGCCACAGAAGTGTCCCTCTTCCCTCCTCTCCGCCTTCCCTTTACACATCTTCCAAACAGCGATTCCCCCAAAGACAGTGCTCGATGGCACAGAAGACAGGCAGGGCCCGCAGGAAGCAGGGGAGCAAACACGAGCGATGACTCGGCCATCCCCGAGGCTCCACACTCCCGTAAACAGACAGGCAGGGGAGCACGCTCGTCCTTACACGTCAGGAGGCCAGAAAGGCCAGCTCCAGGCACCGGAAGTGAGGAGGAAACTGCCCAGGGTGTTGGAGAGAAGAAGCAGGGCTGCCCTGAGAGTCCAGGGAGTGATGCACAGGCCTCGGGAGAGGCCGGGCTCCTGGCTGAGGCGCTGGGACCAGTAGACACCTACTTTAGAAGGTTTTCTGCTCCAGTTCTCATCCGCACGGCTTTCAGGATCTGCTGGTTCAAGGCGGCCCTCTGGTTCTGCAGTTTGCTCCGGCCAGTCTGTGCGAGGGGGTTGCAACCCTGCAGGGAAACAAGAGATGCCCCTTCCAAGGTCAGCCACACTGTGACATGTAACACAACAGAAAATGTTTTTAAAACTAACCCTTGCTGGGCCCTCCCTGGTGGCACAAAGGGTTAGAGCTCAGCACTTTGAAGCCCACGAGTTTGATCCCGGCCAGGGAGTAACCCAGAGGGCACAAAAGACCTCTTCTGTCTCCCCGCTGCTGCCCTCAGCAGTGGATTTCAGTGGATCTACCTGTTCTGCTCCCTACTCTCTCTCTGGTGAACCCTCTTACCCCCACACCTCTGGCCTGTACCCCAGTTCTTGGATGCATTAATAAAATCTTTTAAAAATAAATAAAACTAACCTTTACTGAATGTGAAATATCAACACCAAAAATACCTAAGATAGGCCCTCCCTGGTGGCGCAGCGGGTTAAAGCGCAGCACTAAGAAGTCAAAGCCGCTTCCGCATGAGTTCGATTCCCGCCTGCCCCGGAGG